ATATATATATATATTCTCCATATCAATATCCCTATGTTAATAAGGATATACATTTGTATTTAATGTGTATTTGTTGTTTTCTCCAATAGATTTGAAAATATTTAACTCAGCTAGACTGTATATATTTTGTATTTTTCACTATCAACTTTTTCTTGAGAGAAAATTCAAGCTTTACAGTTTTGTTTTGTTTTAATTGACTAACTGTCCATATATTATCAGGCCTACACAGTCCTTTCAGTCATAAATGTATTTTTGTATTGGCACTGTCAACAAGGGGACCTGTATATGGTCCAGGCTCAACCATAAATTAGCAAAATGACTTTAGTAATATCACAATTTCTACAGACATTTTCCCCCATCACCTCTAAATGAAGACATCAGTTTGTGTCAGGTGCTAACAGTCTCTGATCAGTAGCATGCTATCTGAATTACAGAAAACAAATACCGTAATAGGTTATAACTATCAGGAAAATTCAAGGGAATCCAGTCATGCAATGCAAAATGATGTTTCAGTCAACAATGGACTACATGTATGATGGTGGTCCCATCTATATATATATATAAAACCCTAATATGCAAATAGACCTAATAGCGGAACAACCAAACAACCTGTCGCTATGACATGTGCTGACCACCAGGGTGCGCGCATGGATCATGGTGGGTGTCGGCCTCAGTGGGATGGTGGATCATGTGAGCAGGGGTGCCAGACCAAGGCGGGGCACTGGTTGCTGTCTTCAGGGCGAGCCTCTGGTGGTTACTGAAAATTCTTTGCTCCCGTGTGCTGCTGTCCCGCCCGGTGCTCACACTTACTGCTGGCGTCAGCCCCACTAGCACCTGCTGCAGGTGCCCGGTGCCAGCCCTGATTGCTCAGCACCATCAGTGGGTGCGAGCAGTGGCTGCTGACCCCGATCACCCCTCAGGGCTTCCCCACCTCCCCCTGCTCCTGAGGGGCGATCAGGGCCAGCAGCTGCCTCTCGCACCGGCTACTGGCATCGGCTCCAATCGTGGGAGCAGATACCCCAATGGTGGGATTGGCAGCGGTGGGAGCAGGGCTGCCGGCTGACAGGGGACCCAGGACTGCAGTGGGAGAGGCTGGGCGGGGGTGCAGATGATGGGCTGAGACCCACCCCTGTGTCCACCACAGCCTCGTGGCCCACAGTTCTTTCAAGGTGCACAAACTCATGCACTGGGCCCTTAGTAGATTATAATGGAGCTAAAACAAGGATATTGCCTAGTGCAGTCTTAGCCATCATAAGGTTGTAGCACAACGCATGACTCTTCCGTGCTGGTCTCAGTCTATTGATGGTAATACCAATAGCTAGAAACGTCCGGGGCACTCACCTGGGCCCCAGTGAGCTTCCCACAGACATCTCTCCTTTCCAAACCAATGTTATAGTTGGACTGACCCTTATTATGACTGTAAGACACCCTTAAGTGGTAACCATTAGGAAGATTTGAAGAAAAAAAGAGTTTACTACTTACAGCCTCTGGAGCATACAGGCCATCAAGAGGGCATACAGAGAGGTGGTGGAGACAGACAAGAGAGAGAGAGAGCGGAAGAGAGAGAGAGGACACAGACCTGGAGTTCTGCACTTAATGGGGTAGCAGGTGGGGGCCACAGGTTTTCCTGGCTCACTCTTCATTGGAGAGTTTAAAACATAAGAGAGAGCCCAGGCCAGATGGCTTCATTGGTTGGAGCGTCATCCTTTACACCAAAAGGTTACAGGTTCCACTCCAGCCAGGGCACATATCCAGGTTGCAGGTTCAAAACCCTGTTGGCCATCCTGCTTCCTTGACAAAATTGGACCTATCAGGGATTATTCCACCAGCCATTAAACATTCCTCCACCCTTCTCATGCATTACATTAAACAATAAAGAGAATGTTTGAGAAATTTTAGTCAATTAGATGAGAAGACATTTAACATTCACCTGGTAAGATTAAAGTCTTTATCAATGAATTCATGACTTCACAATGAGTCCTTTAGCCCTCTACTTCTCAAAAAAAAAAAGCCTTTCAACTGAAAACAGAATAAAACAAAAAAATTAAACATACCTCAAATGCAAACTCTCCTTATTTGTAACTATAAAGAATCCAACTGAAAAACAAAAACAAAAATCTTATAAGTTGATTTTAGATGTATGTAACAGTTTGTAGCAACTTCAGCATTAACATTGCAATTATTCAGGGATGTGAGCTATATAAGTTTCTGTTACAAGGTCCCCCGCTGACCCTGAGAAACTCTCATTTACAGTAGACAGCATGGAGTCACTACATAGCAAATGGACAAATAAACATCCTTCAGCAGCTGGGAGTAGATTCCATCTTATTCTGCAGGAGAGTAAATAACAAGGCAACATGAACTTAGATGCACTGCAATTCCTATACCAGCTTAATGATGAACACATAACTACAATGTTAATAACAACCATCCAGATATTACCCTGAAACACACATCTCATCAGAAAATGCTACTATAACAGAAACAGATTTCTCATACACACACATGCCCCCACACACAAACATCCAGCACTTTTCCCACAAACAGTTTTGTTTGTAAGCATTTTACTTGCCATAAATTACTGCCATGAAAATGTAGTTATAGATTTTCTACATCTAACTTATTTGAAATTTAAGGTTTCAGTAACCTTAAGAAAAAAAAAAAAAAAAAAACACCGAAGAAACCCAATGCCATTAGAAATTAGTAGAGGAAATTGAAAGGGTCTTCCATGGTTGGAGAGATTCTCGATTTTAGTTCTATCCAGATGCCAGCTAAAGAGTATGACTTTGGTCTAGTTATTTAAAAACTCAGGATGTAATTTTTGTTGTGTGTATTTTTTTAACATCTGCATATAGTCTTATAAAATTTACTATATTTTCTAAAGGTAATGGCAAAAATGAATAGGTATTTTAAAAAATGAATAGGTATTAATAGGTTAAAACATGCACTCCTGGAAACTTCCATGAGCTAACTAAAACATATTTCTAGGGGAACAGGAATTGCATTTCAAATTTAACAGAAAGGCTTTATTTCAGTAGGTGGTATTTCCCAATTAGAGGGCAGGCAAAACGGACTGCCCACTCTGGTAGGCATGTAACTCACTTCAGCACATGGAATGAGAAAGGGGCCACATACTAAACCTGACAAGCTCAGGGAAGGCCTACAAGGAGACCTTACAAACTCAGAGACCTAAATAGGATGGTCAGAAAGTAAAACTTTCTAACTAAAAGGGAGTCCTGGAAGGTAGTCATGTCCTAGGATGGTGTCTTCCTTGACAAAGATCAATCTTTCCCTTAACTGAACCTGTTGTCTTTTTGTAGCTATGATAACACATCTTTGGATTGTTAGGTAATCCTCTTTTTCAGACCCCTCAGGGCAAAATCTCACCAGAACAGGAAGCCACAGAACCCTCCATTGTTCTCCCACATAGCATCTCCATGTGCTGTCAATGTTCATTGTTAACTATCCCATACCCACCAATGTAACAGAAGTTTGTGTCTGTTTTACTTTTTATCAAATCTCAGAGATTTCCTCCCTTTGCTTCCTTCCACCTCCCTAATCTATCACCAATGGATTTCACGCAACCCCCTTACGTCTTCCCCTTTGGCTCTGATGTATACAATAAATGATAAACCTGCCATTTTCTGGAGCATTTTCTCAATCCATTGAGATTTTGCTTTCCCTGCAATTGTTATTATTTTGGCTCAAATAAACTCATAAAAATTCTCTACAGGTTTGGATGTTTCTTACATCAACAAGCAATAGGACATGAGAGCTTGTTTCTGAGGACAAATGGGCTGGGGAGATGTAAGCTCTGTACCTCAACACAGAAGTTAGGGTCCCACAGGCACCCTGTTCCATCCATTCAGACATGAAGCTCGAGGGTTCAGCCAAAGTACAGCTGGCAGAGAGGGGTCTGGAAGGGCAGCCTTGCATCCGCCTGGGATAGGCTACATGATCACACATCAGAATTGCTGTGTGATCATAATGAAAACAACAAACACCGATTTAACCCTTACTTTATGCCAGTCACTCCTCTATTTTTTTTTTGTTTTTGTTCAAATATATGCTCTAAGAACTGTTACTAATTTCATTTTACAGATGAGAAAACAGAAAAATAGATGAAAAAATAAATTTCTCAAGATTGTACAATGATTACATGGTAAAGTCAATATTAGAACCCATGAGTAAAATTCCAAAGCCTATGCCCTTAGCCTCTAGGCTAGTCCAATGCAAGCTATTCTGTGTTAGTTGCTCTTGAGAGGGTGGGAGAACATAAGCAGAAGCTGTAAGCACCATCAGTATTGGAGGTAGATTCAGTCCTCATCAGGTTTGATTTTTACACTAACTAAAGTTGTATGGACAATAGCTAATCTGCAGAGCTAAGTTAGAAAATGAACTCACTCTGAGTTAATAAAAGTATGGAGCTAGTCTGGCCAGTGTTGCTCAGTGGTTGAACATCAACCTATGAACCAGGAGGTCAGGGTTCGATTCCTGGTCAGAGCATGTGCCCAGGGTTGTGGGCTTGATCCCCAATTGTGGGAGGGGGCGTGCAAGAGGCAATTGATCAAAGATTCTCTCTCATCATTGATGCCTCTACCTCTTGTTCCCACTCTGAAATCAATTAAAATATATTAAAAATATATTTTAAAAATATGGAGCTATATAACCTCTCTGACACTTTGTGTGGGCTGAGATCCTCTTCAAGGGGACTAGGAGAATATCGACTGCTTCCAAGAAGGAGTGATTGAATTTTAGGTCAAATGGAGGATGGTATTGATATCGTTGTGATTAGCTAGTTATTAATAATAGGAAAGAAGCAAAGGGGGAAGTCACACATTATAGGCATACTAGAGACCCGGTGCATGAAATTCACCGAGGGACCCCACCGGTGCATGATCAGGGCCAGGGAGGGACAAGGGAGGTTGGCCAGCCAGGGAGGGACCACAGGAGGGCTCCAGGGTATGTCTGGCCCATCTCGCTCAGTCCTGATCGGCTGGACTCCAGCAGCAAGCTAACTTACTGGTCAGAGCATCTGCCCCCTGGTGGTCAGTGCATGTCATAGCAAGCAGTTGAGCAGCCTTAGCATATCATTAGCATATTACACTTTGTTGAGCGAACGACTGGACAACCCGACACTTAGCATATTAGGCTTTTATTATATAGGATATCATTAGCATATTATACTTTGATTGGTTGAACAGATGACCAGACAACCCGACACTTAGCATATTAGGCTTTTATTATATAGGATTGTTTGGGTAGTGTCACCAGGAAGCTGCAGTTTCACACTCCCCAGGGAACAGGATCTACTCCCTGCAAAATACTGGAGGAAGGGATTGAACAAAGGAAAGATAGATGCAGTAAAGTTGGGGTGACATAGGGAAAGTACTTGCCTAATCAATCACACCAAGAACAGAGATCATTGGCCAAAATGATCTGGCCAATGCAAGCATGAAAAAATTTGGGAATATATAATCTTCTAAACAAAGGAATTCTCTCTCTCTTGTGCTTGACTCTTGGCTTGTGGAGTTATTTTGCTCCTACTTCCTTGCATTCAATCCATTGCCCACAGTCATGTGGGCTCCACACCCAATGAACTAACGGACTGCAGCAGGAAGCACAGCTAAGCTAGCCTGATGCTGTATTGGACCTGGCTCCAACAATGGAAAGAAAACTATGGGCACTGGCTCTTACTTTAGCTCTACTAAAGCCTCAGCTACACTTCTTCTATGGGAAATGGGAACTTTTGAAACTCAGGCATTTAATTCCACAGAAATAAATCTTTGTACATACTTCATCCTTCTAAGGGGGCCTTCATAATTTCTTATTTCAGCCATACCCCAAGAACCTCATCCCCTTGAGCAACCAGGTAGATGAGCCCCACTCCTATCCTGTAACACTATCACTCATATACAAAATGAACTGACGGGTGGAGCTCACATTGATGGAAGGCTAGTGGGCTGCAGATTACTAGACTTTTCATCATATACTTTTTTTTTTAACCAAGCAATCTACTGAATAGAAAGTTAGAACACTTAGAAGAAATTTCTTTTTTGTTCTCAAAGTCTATAATTCTCTCTCCAGCCACATATTTTACAAATGCAATTCACTTACTACACAATGAACTAGGAAAGGCAAGAATATATATTCTGTGAAGAGCCATATACTAAATGTCTACTTTTGCTTTGCCTGGTATTAACCTGAGAGCACAAATAAATATGACATAGATCCAATTTCAAGGTATTTTCTATCTTTCTAAAAGAAGTAATGCATATATTTTAAAAGACAGATTAAAATAATACTTAAAAACTTACAATAGTTAAAGTAATTAAATGAGGATACAATTAGGCTGGGGTGGCTCTAGTGCCACAGTAGCCTACGTAAGCAAACTGAAACCTAAGCCAGAATCTATACTGTGGAATCCAAGAAAATGAAACTTGGGAACTATCCATCACAAACAGCCAACCAGGATTTCCCAAATAAGACAACCTTAAGCGATAGCCAACCAAATCATTTTCTTAAGCTGCTTTCATACCTTCTCTATAAAAACCTCTCCCCTAGCTCCTGCTTTATTGATGGTCAATTTGAATTAATTGAAATAGAAATAACCTCTCGAGATTAATTTTTTAAATGTTTTAAAATATGTTTTTATTCATTTCAGAGAGATGAAGGGACTGGGAGAGATAGAAATATCAATGATGAGAGAGAATCATCAATTGGCTGCCTCCTTGCATGCCCCCTACTGGGGATCCACCCTGAAATCCCAGCATATGCCTTGACCTGGAATCTAACTGTGACTTCCTGGTTCATGGGTTGATGTCACACCTGCCTGGTAGCTCTTGAAAATTATACGGTGCCTCACTTTGTAGTTTAACACAATGCATGACAAAGGCCAGTGATAAAACTAAGTATTCAAAGTGTAGAATGTGAATATGGTGAATTACTTCGGTGGCCCATGAAGCTTTTGACAGATTACAAATTTGCAAGTTTGGAAGCCATTTGTCTCTCAACAGAAGTGTCAGCAAAAATTCTTGTAATTCAAGTTTTCTTAGGCTGCATAGCAATTCTTTACTTATACTGTCCTCTCAGGTCAAATTGTCTGTGAGTTAATCACATTATTAGAATATATCTGAGCTTTAATTTGTTAAATTCTTATTCACTATTAACTTTTAATTGGAGTCATAGAAAGGTTTATGCTTCACAATGGATTTTCATATCAATATAGACACATAATTATGACTAGATATCATATGATGCATGTAGCAATGAATATTGTTATGTGGGGGCTAAAAATATTAATACTTTTCTTCCTTCCTTCTAAGTGCTTCTGGATGGACTAATCACCAAATTAACAAAGACTGACTAACAGGAGAAAATCAAGTTTGAATGCATGTGCATGGGGAACTCACACAGGCATGGACATTCCTTTGCAGTTCCAATGAGGCAAGATCAGGTATGTAAAACATGTTTGGACAAATGAGAGAAGGGTGATGGGTATTAATTTCACAAGTGAGAATGGGCGATTTACTGGTAGTTGAGGAATACCAGAGTATACATGGCAGGCAAATTCTTTTTTTTTTTTTAACAATCTATTTTTATTTATTTCAGAGAGGGAGGGAGAGGGAGATATTTTAAAAAATTTATCAGCTTCAAGACCAAAATAATTCATTTATCCATATAATTTGAGATCATCCGAAGTTGAAAATTAGGAAAATGTAACATTTGAAGGTACTATTGGTCAACAGGCTCTTTTACTCTGAAGGTATTAGGCCCTGAAAGCCCATTTTCTCTGATTTTCAAAATGGGAGGTTGGAGTAATAGCATTTTCAGATTGAGGTATTTGTGACATATCAATGATGGCATTTTCCAATTATTGATCCTCTTAAAACAAAGGCTAATTGAGGAAAAATGTATCTTCAATAAGAGAGACATTATTTGACTATCTCAAAACATAAAAATATTATTTAAAAATGGTTGGACACTAAATTAGTTGTTCAAACAGTCCAATTACTCATTAAAAAAACTCAAAACACAGAATTATGACAAAGAAATTAGAAACACAATTTCATTAATATAACATTTAATTAACATTACCCTTAAATAATGTAAAAATGATATTAAAGAAGATGTGCATTTACAAGCCCCAGCTCCAATTCTTTCCTTAGACAGTAGGAACTATCATTTATATTAAAGATCAGCCTAGAGTTAGTTAATTGTGGCTTGAGTGTCATAAAAATAATTCAAACTTGGCAATTCTTAATAAATTTAAACTCCATAATTTGTGTCAGCCTCAGAACAATTCAGCAGACTAAGAAGTCACTTGTCCTTATTCTTAATGTTATTCAGAAGAAAACGTATGATATATGCTATATTCTATTACTACATTTACATGTGCTCCTTTATAGCCACGAGTAGAAAATTAAACTTCTGGCATTCCTGCAAGCCAAGATGTGTCAATTCTTAAATCAAGACAAGATTTATTAATCATTTCTGTACCGTATCACAGATCCTCTTACAAGCTTCACACTGTTCCCCCATGGTGAGACCTTAATTTCTATAACTAGAACTGCTTGGAAAACAATGTAATATTATAAGTACATGGAGCATTTCAAGGGATTTCACAGAGAAAATATCCTTCTTCATACTGGCAGTGAGCTTCTGTCTAAAAGGAACTGACAAATGTCTTACTGCACTATTCATTCCCTATGTGAAGTTAACCCTAAGGCTGACTTTAGAGACATATTCAAATAGAGTCAGGCTCGATTTCTATAGGAAAACATTGCTTGCGAAACTCTTTTATTCTCAGGAGCTTTTAAGTTCTTGAAAGCTTTAGTCTAGGCTTGTATGTAAAAGTTAAATGCCAGTTTAGCTTCAGAGAGAAAAGTCCTAATTCCACTCAAGCTCTGTGACTGTCTGTGGACCCCAAACCCCTGTGGCAGCCTCTTGGTTATCCTACACATGAGAGCCTACTTCAGTGATCTCCTCTGTGGTGACATTGGTCAACATGAGCTGCTGCAGATTCTTCTTTAAAGAGAGGATTACAGAGTTTTTTCTTTAGCTATGTCATTTCCATGGTCTGGGGTTATATATAGTTTTTCATTGGATAGATGAATTTCTAAAAATTCATGTATGCAAATTTCCTATCATAAGCAACATTAAATCTCAAATGAACATAAAAGTCAAAGTGACATTTAAAAATAGAGAAATGTTGATTCAAAGTAGAAAGTTGATCAGGTTGTTGGAAAAATCTAATTTATTAGTCATTGAGGTGAAAGGAAAATTAACTTATGGCTCAATTGGCTACATAAAATTAAAAGAAATTTCTCTGTTTAAAAAATGGAAAGCAGAGCTAGCAAATATTTAAAGCAATTTTGAGAGACCACTTATAAATATGTTTCATAAAAAAAATCTTGTAAAATTGTTAGTAACATATCAATATTCAAGTAGATATGCCAGTGACGAATGTGAAAATACAATTTGTATTTGGTAAATGCAATCAGAAATTCTGAAAATGGGAATGTATCTTTTGTGATAAAATAAGTGCAAATAAAACAAAAGAGACAGTGCATTTAAGAAGCACTAAAAACATAATAAATGTTTAATATGTATGTAGAATAATCATTTCCTGTGGGATATATAAATTAGCATAATTTATAAATCAATGTTACAAAGTCTATCAATAACCATATATATGTATGTAAATACATTTATATACTTTGACTTAGTACTTTTTCTTGTCAAAACTGATGTAAGGGTAACAAACTCCAAAAAAGAGAAGATGCTCAGTATAGCCTCACCTATTTTTAAATTGGAGCTAATCATCTATTATTTTATCTGTTCTTTAATCAATTTTATAATACATTATATAATCTCTAAGTAGTATTTATTGATACTCTGTGGTAATAAAGGGAACATAATTTTAGGTAAGTAAAGAACAAATCAAATGTATATCCATTATGTGATATTAACTATATGAAATTATATCTTTTCAAGATGCAAGAAAAAATAATTCACCACATAAGAGTGATAAGGATAATGTCTTTCTTGTCTCAATTAAAAAAATTTTAATTACATATAAACATTTCACTATAAAAAAGGCACACATACATCTCTCTCCTATTTCTCAGAAGAATAGCAGCTAGGCTTTTGCTACTTCCTTTATCAGGGTTTGGTAAACTCTGGACCTTGTACCAAATCTAGCCAACCACTTGTAATATATATATTAATTTCAGAGAAGAAAGGAGAGAGAGACAGAAACATCAATGATGAAAGAGAATCATTGACCAGCTGCCTCCTGCATGCCCCCTATGGGGATCAAGCCTGCAACCTGGGCATGTGCAGGGAATTGACCTGTGACCTCATAGTTCATAGGTCGACTCTCAACCACTGAACCACGCCTGCTGGGCCAACCACTTGCATTTTTGTATCACTGAGGGCTAAGAAAGGTTTTCAAATTTTTGAATGATAATTTCCCTCACTGTTATTTTTGGGTAATTCTAAAAACCAAATTGCTTATAGTAGTTATTTTGGAGTATTAGCTTAGTTGCCACTTTTGGGTGAAATAACAAAGCAAGAAATAAAAATTCAATGACAGGATCAGTCAACATGTTAAATATTTTCATTTATGTATTATAGTTTCCTGGTACAATACAAAGATACTTAAATTGTTCCCCTGCTTGAAAAACCCATATCGTCCTATAACTTCTTTACTTTTTTGATCATATAATTAGAAATATGAAATGCTGGCATGTTCTCTTTCCTCTACACTATTAAACTATTTAATTGCAAAGGCAACGTCCTGCACATTTTAAGCCAATATCATTGGGGTGGTCTTGACTTGGCAACAGCTGCTCTAGGGGTGAAAAAGAAAACACTGAGAGGGCTCCCCAGTCAAGGGAGAACAGCCGGGGCTCTGTGATGGTTCACTGCCTTGAAATGAACCTATCCACGTTCTACACCAGGATAGGCTAAATATCAGAAACATACAATGGAGTGGATCCACCCAAACACAAACATCAAGGCGAGGGCGCTGAGTCAGGCAGGCCATTTTGCAGAGAACATTTTAGTTTCTTTTAAGATTTCCGTTATTCTATTCAATGCTACATTGAAAATGAACTTAAAACAAATTGGTTGTCTACTGCCATTATTATTAATCGTGATAGGTGAACTCGAACAAGTGTGCAATTCAAATATGCCATTTTGTATAGAAATTGTCTTCTTCTTTTCTGAAATTTAAGTAGTATACACAGTAAAAATATTTCAGGAGTACTATAATTATTAAAAACAAAGCAAAACAAAACAGAGTTTTCTTGTACTTTGACCCCTATTCCCTCTCTCTAAAGATAAATACTACTTAGATTTTAACTTTTTCTTTCTGTTCATTTATTAAAAAAACACTATATAATTGGATCTGCATATATGCATATTATCTCCACATATAAACAAAAATATATTTTACCCTTACCAATTTCATCCTCTTGCTCTTATAAGTTGAACATATTTTAAAACTGTTTATGATAACTTCAAAAATTATAATTGACCCTTGAAAATACATAGGTTGGGAGCACTTAACACCCACAGAAATAAAAATCCATGTGTAACTTTTTGACTCCCCCAAAAGTTAACAAATGTTGGCCAGAAGTATTACCAATATATAAACAGTCCATTAACACATATTTTGTATGTTAGATGTATTATATACTATATTCTTAGAATAATTTAAGCTGGAGAAAATAAAATGTTATTAAGAAAATCATAAGGAAGACAAAATACATTTACACTATTTATTGGCAAAGCTCCACATATAAGTGAACCCAAATAGTTTAAACCTGCATTATTTATGGGTCAATGGTTCACCAGAGGTTTTAGGAATCTATACTATAAAATAAGTCATATTTCCCTAGACCTAGCTGCCAGTATTGGTGGTCCCTGTGATTTCTTAATTGATCACAGGTTTTGAACAACCAAATGGCATTAACTAATAATTACTGTGATTCTGAATAATCAAACACTTAGATTAAATGTCATTTCAAAACTTATCAGCATGAGATTATTTGTTCTCTCAAGATACATCCTTTGCCAGTGTGATGAGCCAGTCACTGAGTTCAAACTCATTCTAGGAAGGCAAAGTCACTTAGGCATGTGCAAGCAGCTATGGAGAACTGGTCTGCCCCTCTGTATGGATGGAGGTCTTTGGTGGTGCAACATTTGGAGTTGATAAAGGCTCTGCTGTTGGCATGAGTTGGTCCTTCTCCATATTGTTCAAATCCAGGTGAAATTAGAATGGAATCACTTATACTGGTTGTATTTTCCTTTATCTACTTAGAGATGCACAGAATAACTATTCACAGAATGAAGAAGCAATCTGACACAGCTAACAGAGACTATTCATACAGGCTTGTTTGGGGGGAAATAAAGCAAAAGCACAAACATCGGGGTATAGGCTCCTGAGCTATGTAATCTGTTGTTAGTACAAACGTCACATTTCTTGGGAAATCAAAAATCAGATTTGCTTTGATATAAATTATTCCTAGGAACATTATTTTCTGTATATTTGCTTAAAATGTATTTAAATTTGGAGAGGCTAGAGAACATAATTACTTCAATAGTCTACATTGGCATTTATTTCTTTAGCTTTGGATTGGAGATTTGAAAAAGTGCTTAGAATGGTACATTTTGTAAAGCCAAATACTTATATATAAAAATTTTAAGGTATAAAATGCCAATCTGATTTCACTATAAGCAAAGTAAAAGGGAAATGACAAGTTGCCACACTATTGGCAAAACATATGAATGTGAAAGGGTTTTAATTTCCTTAAGAAGATATATCAGGGTCATAATTAAACCTTAAGAATAATAAAAGTGAAGATATAAAAGGCAACACACACATACACACAGAGAGACACTCAGATGACAAATACAAAAAAGAGTTCACTCTGATAAATAGTAAAATAAATGAAAATTAAATAAAAATGAGTAACCCTCTACTATGTCCACCACGGGCCCAATCCATTGACAATTCTTTCAAGATAAAGTGAGACTGTGTCCCCTGTGACCTCCCTAGTCTAAGGCACTGTCATCACTCACTTGAACTATTGCAGGAAACCTCCACAATTCTATTCTTGCTTTCCTCAGATCTATCCTACACTAAATAGCCAAGAGGATATTTTTAAAATATAAATAAACCACGTCATTCCTGTGTTGAATGCTCTTCTCAGGGCTGCTGCTTCTAGAAAGGCCACACCGCCCTCCAGTAGCTCTCCACCCCCTTCCCCGCCCTCCTGTAGCTTCCCCTGCACCCCCATAGCTTGTTGCCCTGCCCTCTCTTGTAGCTCTCTGCTGCCCGCTTGTAGCCAGTAGGTTGCTGCTGCCCTCCTATAGCTCTCCGCCCGCTGCCCCGCCCTCCTTTAGCTCCCTCTGCCCCCCCCTCCCCCATAGCTTGCTGTTCTGCCCCCTCCTATAGCTCTCTGCAGCCCCTTTGTACCTCGCTGGCCCACCCTCCTGCTGATCCTTAATCTGGTCATGAGGCGCTAGGTCATTACTCCTCAGGGTGTAATGGCTAATTAGCATATTCCTTTCTTATTATATAGGATTCTTTTCAGATGCATGAGGGCACCTAGCCAATATGCTCACAGGTTTCTACTTAGGTGTTTAGAGGTGTGCAGTGAGTTGGGACACTTGCCTGCTTCTCCAAAGAGCATAATTTAACTTATTGGATACTTGTAGTAAGGGGGGAGAGGGGTATTATGTTACTGAGAATGTAGACCAAAACAAAGCAGGTTGGAAATAGTATTTTTGTCTGTGCCACCACAGTGAATGTGCATTCAGAAACAGCTAGTACGAGTAAAATTTGCTTCCTTCAAAATCCAGCACAAGCATCCCACCCCTTCTTCTCCCCTCATTTATAACTTGTCTGCTACGCTAATATTGGCAGTGCCAGCACCATTCTTCTTTTGTTTATAAGTAAATCCTTGGGTTAATTTACCCTTCCCTCAACCAGCCTGCAGTGTCTTAGAAAATTCTCTCAAAGTGCTCTTCAGCCAGATAGCATTTGTTAAAATTACTACTGCTGTGTAACAAATTAATCAAAATTAGCAGCTTAAAAGGCGTAATTTGTTATGCTCCCTGTTTCTGGGGACAGGGATTTGGACAGGGCACAGAAGAGGTGGCTTTTCTCTACTCCACTGTGTCTGAGGCCACAGCTGGGAAGATACAAAGAGTGAGAATATCCCTCAACACTTGTTCACTTCCAGGACTGACACCTAAGCTTCAATGGCTGGAACACTTGGGTTGCTGACAGGAGTCATACATGTGGCTTCTCTATGCCTCAGCTTCCATACAGCATGGCAGACTCAGGCTGGTCTAACTGAATGATTCAAGGCATGATCACAAGTGTTACAACTACACAAGGCAGAAACAACATCCCCTTTAATGACCCAGCCTCAGGAGTCAAACAGCATCATTCACCAAATGATGGTCCAAGTAGTCACCAGCCTGATTAGATGAGATTGCCAGAAGGAAGGGAGCATGTCAAAGAATAAGAGGGCCATGCCTTAAAAACTGCACTGATTTCTGTATTTTTTTAAATTCTACTAGTATTTATTTTTTTAATTAAATTTTATTGGACTCACATTGGTCAACATGAACATATAAGTTTCATGTGTGGATTTCTAAGTTACAGAGTTTGTATATAGCACCATGTGCCCCCACCCAAAGTTAAGTTTTCTCCTGTCACCTCATATTAGTACCCCCTTCCCCCCCACCCCACGCTCCACCCCAGCAAGCACCACACTGCTGTTTGTTTGTTCTATGTATTGATACAGTTATCCATTTTGATGACTCCACCAGGACTGTGTGGATCTCGGTAATCCTGGAGAGTTTTGAACTCTATATCTGGTATATTGCTTGCCTCCATTTCATTTAGTATTTTTCTGGAGAGTCCTCCTCTTCTTTAATTTGGGACATGTTTCTTTGTATCCATATTTTGGCTGACTTTTTGTGTGTGTTTTTCCTATATATTAGGAAGACCTGCTGTGTCTCCTAGTCTTGGTAAGGTGCCTTATGTAGTTGGTGTCCTGTGAGACCCAGTGGTGCAGTCTCATTGATCACCTTAGCTGGGTGCTCCAGGAATGCCCCTTGTGTGGGTTAGGTGAGATCTGCTGTTGTAATTGAGTCTTGATTGCTCTTGGCCCATTCGTGTATGGGGACAACCCTCAGGCTGGCTGACTTGAGGATCAGGTGTTGACCACATGAAACAGAATTTGCCTCTGCAGCGTCTGGTGCCTGCTGACATCTCCCTTTGGATATGCTGCTTGTGAAGCTAATTGAATACAGCTCTGATGTTCTCTGAAGCTGGCCACTAGTTGTGTCTGTTCTGGGGCCTCTTAAGAAGGATTCTGGTGCAGACACTGCACCAGACACTGCCTATGGCTGGCCTTGGGCAACCTGTTTGGAGCTACAAAGTGAGCCACAGTTTGTGGCAGCCTCTGCTTGGCCTTGATGTGCATGTCAGGGACCAAGTTTCACACCAAGGCAAGCTTCCACCAGCACTGAGCCCAGGAGCAGGTCAGCCAAAGGAGTACAGCAGCCCAAGTTCGCCTCCACCTGCCTCTATCTGCCTGCTGTGTATTAGGCTCAGTCACTGAATGAGCCTCTAGAGCAGGGGTGGGCAAACTTTTTTGACTCGAGGGCCACAATGGGTTCTTAAACTGGACCGGAGGGCCGGAACAAAAGCATGGATGGAGTGTTTGTGTGAACTAATATAAATTCAAAGTAAACATCATTACATAAAAGGGTACGGTCTTTTTTTTTTAAGTTTTATTCATTTCAAATGGGCCGGATCCGGCCCGCGGGCCGTAGTTTGCCCACGGCTGCTCTAGAGGTACTTGAGTTTCATGAGGTAGGGTCTCATTGAGTCACCTCGTAGGGGCAGTAGTGTTCACCAAATTGACCCAGGTTCAAACCGGGTGCCAGTGCTGGGTTGGAAGCCACTCAGCAAATGTCCTATTGCATACCAAATCCAGCTGCCACCCACCTGGTGCCCGTAGACCTTTGTGGTGGGGTGGGGGTCTTAGGGAGTCATCAAGGTGTAGCCAGTAGAGTTTATTAGGCCCAACAGACCAAGATCTGGCTGTGTGAAGTGAAGGCTCTGCAGCAGTTGGGTGTGTAATAAAATGTTTACTGTACTAGAGCCACACAACTCAGTATGTCCCAGATTCTGCTGGGAGCCCTTGCTTAGCAGGGAGGGTCTTCCAGGAATTGGGAGGGTGGGACTAGTTAGCGAAGAGGGGGAGGTGCTGGTCAGGCTGGGGGAAGGCCTTACCCCATAGTCACAAAAATTCATTCACTGACACCCCCTGAGTCTGCCCAGACCTCTACAGGCAGTTGACTCCTCAGCAAGGTGTTAGCTCTGCAGGGTAGGGCAACAGGGATTGCAGAGGGTGGGGTTTTGCATTCTCCCAGGCTGATGCTGTAATGAGGGCAGTGCTCCACCTAAGCAAGATGGCATCTGCAGTGTGGGAGGTAGACTCAGCACAGGAACCTGGGCGGCTGTCACTTCAGCTCTCTCCCAGGAGCCACAAACCCCAATCTCTCCTCACACAATTGTAATCCATTCGTCCCTCTCCTTACCAGAGACAGGGTGACCAGTGTCTCTCTCTGGCACACAGAATCCCTGCTGATTTT